CTTCTCGACGAGCTCTATCCAAGCAAAACGAAAAAAGCAAAAAAATTTATGTCGAGATTTAGAACTGCAGGCATCAAACATGCGCTAAAGATGCCATAAAAATTAAACATCTCGATATAAATTGATGTATGTCAAGGGCAGCGTATATTTTAATTTTTGTTAGATTGGCAAGAGAAGCTGTAATTCTATCTATCTATATCTAATCTTCTTTTGTTATAATGCAAAGCCTTCTGTCACACGCCATGTGTGTTATGAGTACCACAAGAGAGAATATAAACAAAATATTACTATCTTCTCTAGATGCATATAACACTCTATAACATGTGTTGTAGGCATCATGTAAGAAATCGACAATGACCGAAAGGATATCGCTACATGAAATCGTAAATTCTTCACTCCATTAAGTTAGGTTTTCAATAAGTCTAGAATGATAGAACATAAAACCCTGCACATATCTTTGTATTTCTTTGATTTGTTTTTGTCAAATGCAAAAAGAGTTGCTGAGGACTGAAAAGTCTTAGATTTTCATTCATTTTTGGGTATTTTGAATAACGACTTGAGAAGCCGTAATTTTTTCTCTTTTAAACCTAGTATGGAAACTAGATTGTGAATGTTTAGTGTTGGTCTTCGTTTCGCTCACAACCTAATGTTCATATTAGGTCTACATTGAGAAGTATGCTAATTTCTCAATTTGTTATTCAAAACACTCACAAGTGCATGAAACTCTAAGACTACTCAGTCCTCGGAAACTCTTTCTGCATTCAACAGAAACAAATCAAACTAAATACGAAGACATGTGTAGAATTTTATGCTTTGTCTCTCTAAACTGTTGAAATTGCAACCTACAGAAATGGCAGATTAAAGATTTTTTGCGGCGGTATTATAACGAGTTTTAAAGAGTTCAACTGGGCAACTCAGTAAATAGAGAGCATTGCGCAGTCATGAGAATATCTCCTTGGAACACTTTGAAATATATAAAACCTGTGTGAATTTGTGTGTTTTAATGCATCTATATCATTAACTTGTTGAAACGTCTGTTGCTTCGTTCATTCGACTAAAGTAAGTTCATAGTTATGTTAGCTGTTGAAATACGAATATTTGGGCATTGGTTGAAGTGTAAAGTGTACTGAAAAGAAAAACAGTAATTGTTGTAAAGCATTCTTTTCTCATTTCTGACAGCATGGATATGATGCTAATTTATTTTATAGTTTTCTTATTTTCAATAACATATTTATAGATCATCATGGAAGGAAGTATCTCAGAACCAGATGTGCTTTCAAAAAGATTAAAATTTGCTTATAGTGTTGGTCATGTTCTAAATGATGCAACTTCATCAATGTGGTTTTCGTATATACTTCTATTTTACTATCGTGTTGTGAATTTTACAAACGCATCTGCTGGTTATTTACTTTTAATTGGACAAATAACTGATGCTTTAACAACAATATTTGTTAGTTTAGCATCTGATCGTACACGAACTGGTCTTTTTCACTATGGAAGACGTAAAACTTGGCATCTTATTGGTGTTATTAGTATACTTATTTCATTTCCATTTTGTTTTAATTTATGTATTGGATGTAAAAATAGTAAACTATGGGCACAATTTATCTATTATACAGTGTTTATTATTATATTTCAATTTGGTTGGGCATGTTCATATGTTACACATTTGTAAGTATTAAGTTTATATCGAAAAAAGAAAGTAGAATTCATATATTAATTAGAGCAATGATCAATGAGCTGACACAAAAAGATGGTGAACGTGTTGCACTTAATTCATATCGTCATGCTTGGGCTTTTATATCAAATATATTTGTTTATGTAATGGCTAGTGTTTTATTAGGTTTTTCTTCCAGTCTTAGTGAATCAAGTATAACATCAGCTGATGCACCCATATTTCGTAAATTAACATTTATTGTTGTTGGTTTTAGTCTCATTTGTATGATTATATTTCATGTTGGTCTAAAAGAATCTAATCAAATAACTGAACAAACAGAAAATCGTTCACAACTAACATCAACATCTAGCAGAATATTAAAACGAATGACATGGAAACAGTTCTTACGTGAAAAAGAATTTTATCAATGTACATTTATTTGGGTAGCTGCAAGAGTTATTTTTCATGTTACACAAGTGAATATACTTCTATACATTATCTACTTTTATAATCTAAAATCAAAAAAGAACTCTAAAAAAGCCAACAGAAGAACATATTAGATTTGTTTTCTAGTCAGCTCAGATTTTAAATATCATTGAATCAGATCAAACAGGTCATCGGTTTGATTTTTTTTTCTTGGTAAAACTCTTGCACAAATATAATTTATTTAAACTTAGTATTTTGAATGATTTATCAATTTAGTTCGAGTAACTGTTTAATCTGTTTTTAAAATAACTGATCAGTTACACTTCACTTAAGAAATACTTTGAATGATTGTAGTCGAAACTATAAACTAAAATTGAAAACTTTTGAGGTCAATTTTACATACTCTATAGGTCTAGAATCCTGTATTGTTCTAAATGACTTGTAAAGAAACACTAATCCTACAATTTTTTCAGATCGTTTTAACTTCTCATCTTGTCTTAATTTCTGAGAAACCAAATCAGACAATTCTTTATTATATCAGCAAATGTCTTATGTATAACTTTTTCATCATATTTTTTTTTTGTAAGGTATTTCTTCCATTGTATACAATTGATACAATCTTAACATTAGATCGAGTATTTGTTGCTATTGCTCCACTATGTATTTGTTTTGGTGGTCTTGTTACATCTTTTCCTATGCGTTCAATAAACAAACGATTAGGTCGAAATCTAACAAATATCATTGGTTATGGTTTAGCATTAGCTAGTATGATCTTATTTTGGTTTATTGTTGATTTAAAAAGTAAACTGCAAATTGAAATAGCTCTAATATCAGCTTGTATTTTATTTGGTATGGCTACATCAGCAACAAGCATTTGTTCTACTGCTCTAGCATCTGATTTTATTGGTTTAAATACAGAATGTGGAGCATTTATTTATGGAGTAATGTCATTTATAGATAAACTTGTTAGTGGTATAATTATTACTATTGTTCAACAATTTAATCCATGTAAACTATCTTCAACACACAAATGCGCATTATATTATAGATATATAGTAACATTTATACCGGCTGGTATTGCAATTTTAGCGATTTTCATGATATTAAGTATATGGAAAACAAATATCGGGAGTAATCGCTATGAAATAATTCAAGAAGCACAAAATGACATAGAGATGAAAATTATAGTTGCAAATAAGAATGAACACAATGAACGAAGTCCATTAGTAGATTGAGACCGACATGTTTGCTAAGACTAGTGTAGTTGATTAAACAATATATTTTGTTTTGTTTTTCTTTCATGATTAGAATAGAAATTTGTATTTTCAATTTGGTTGTGTTTAACAATATTAATTCAAACATTTCAATTTAACTTATCTAAGGAAATAAATCTGATTAAGGGAGTACTATAACTGATAAAAAATCATTTTTTTTTCGATATAGCAAAGCAGTTGCATGTACAGAAAAAGAGTTGGAGTATTCGGGCAGACTGATCACCCCCATATATATATGTCAGTTTGAAAAAGTAAAAATATTTTGAAACGTTGAAATGTCATAAATTGCCACGTCGAATGTCAGGTAGGATTTCAAACTAGAACCCTTGTTCCTTCCGAACATCGTTAATAGTGCTGATAGGAATAATAAATATTTCCTTTTTGTTTTTTGTATTTCGGAAATATTTACAAGCAATAAATTTTATCAATATTCTGCGTAATGTCACGTTAGTATACGAAATAACCTACTCACTATATGTTTTGCTCGACGGTTTTTTAAATTTTTGCATAAAATATATAGAATATTTCATGATAATAAAACAAAATATCTATCGCACTTAGTTCTTCAATTATTTTAGTTAATTATTTATTTCCATTTCGAATAATTCAAGTGGTATACGATCAACTTTATGGTAGGGCGCACTCATTACTACGATTCGATAAGTTTCGAATATTTTTAAAGACACGGTCTCTTATTTGAAATTCCTGCATGTTCAGTTACGTTGCTTTATTCATTCATGTCTTTTAACATAATCAAAAATTATGTAGAAAAAAAAAAAATAATTATTGAATAATTTAATCATATTTAATTTTTTACTTGAAAAAAGTTATTTACTAATTTTTATTTTTTACAATAAAATATTCATGTCTATATGTTCATAACAGAATTAATAATTAAACAAGAGTCACAATAATTGAAGTTGCCTTCATAAGTTCTTTAATGATAAAAAAATTTTTTTATTTATATTTAACAAATAAAAAACTAATGTTAATGAAGCAAATGTCCTTGAATGATTTTCTTCGGTCACAATAACCGTTATATAAATAAAAACAAAAATTACATAGTACTTATTTTTTTATTTTTCTGTTTTTTGCGATCGAATGAAATCGTTATTTTATCCCCATCCAATTTTCTTTTTATTTGTTTTCGAAAGAAAACAATCAAGTTTTAAAAATAGGCATGACAAGTAAAAAATTATTTTCGCTTAGTATTTTTTTTTTAATGTTACATTTCTTTCTTAGAATAAAGTATTTAAAGAATTATTTTGTATATGAAAAATATATCATCATTAAGATTATATTACTGTGATAGAATATTTTATTAAGTTTATTTTTTTTCATTTCTTATTTGTATAGAGAATATTTCTCTCAATAAACAAAAAAAAAAAAAGAAGGAATAAATTTGATTGATTATACATTTAATGTAAATTCATCTAACCATTGTATATTTGCTATTGTACCATTTTCATAAAAATTCAAAGGTGTCCAAAATTGTGGTTCATGACCTTTTATTCCATCAGGTGCTTGTTGCCATCTCAAAAAGAAAAAAAAAAGACAAAATTCATTTATACAATGAAAATTTTACAACTTTACCTATCACCAGTCCAAACGTATGTCGTATAACCAGTTGAATTTGTGACTTTAATAATATAATTTTGTTGAGATCGAACAATTGATGTTGTATTTATATTATGAAATTCACAACCTTGATTAGGTGTTGGTAAACCATTTATTGATGTTAAGTGTACTTTAGTCATAGAATAGTCATTTTTTGTCACACAAGCAAGATCACCTCCAGCCTATCAAAACAATCAAAAATTATTTTTTTTATATCTTCAACAAGCGAAATAAAAAAAATAAAATAAAATGATACCTGAAGTGTATAAGGTCCTAATGGGTTATTTGCTGTATGAACTAAAATACCACTACCTTGCATACAATAACAACAACACCAACCAAATAATACATAATAAATATTATTTTTTTTCATAAATATTGGTGCTTCAACAAAATATTCTTTAAACATATTAGATTTTCCAGTTGAATAATAAAAATCCGATGTTAATTGTTCTATACTCATATAATAATTTTGAGAATAAACTATATAACCAATACCATCATCATCAACAAGAATATCAAAATCACCTAGATATTGAAATAAATGAATTCAATCAATGATAATACAACATATGCTTACCTCCACCACCTCGAGAAACATTCAAAGCCGAATTAATTAATTTGAATGGTCCACTATATAAACAAAAATAATAAAAAAAAAAAAAAAAATTTAGCCGAGAGTTATGCAATAATAATATATATACTAACAATATACTTTACCTTGGTGTATCAGCAATAGCAACTGCATATAAACTTGGTAGATTCCATCTCATATAATTCCAAATAAGAACATATAATTTTGTATTTGGATTGTATACAAGATGTGGACGAAAAACTACACCTATGAAAATATATAACAATAGTTATATCAAGTAATATATCATATAAAGAAAAAAAAAAGAAAAGAAAATACCTGCCGGTCGATCATCTACATTGATTGCATTACCTACATATGACCATGATCCAGAAGTTAAATTTGGTGAAGACCATATACTAATATTATGATTCATTTGAAAGCCACATTTACTCGACATTCCAGCCTAAATTTATATAAAGTTTTTTTTTTTTTTTTTTTTTTGTTATCTCAATACAAAACTAACTCCATCACATCCATATTTTGGTGGTTCTTCACAAAGACCATATTGCATAGCATGTATATAATAAAGACCATTTTTTTCAAATTGTTGAATACTACCATCATGTGTATCCATAATAATACCATTAACATCCAAACGAGGTTGAAGATTATTAATAGTAACTTGAATTCCATTAATAAATAATGGAAAAAGAAAAACAAATAATAAACTATTGAAAATTTTTTTCATATTATTGATTATGAAATTAATCTTAGATGAAAAAAGAAAAATCAACTGACACTCTATTGTTATTCTTGAGATTTCTACCATCTGTAATATACTAAATATGATTGATAAAAAAAAAAAAAGATAAAATAACGATTTGATGAATCATACATACACATCTTACCTCATATAATTCTCCAGGCATCATCAACATTATATGTTTGTATTAAATAACATTACACTCTTTATTAATGTTTTTACCATCAGTACAATTCTTTTATTTTTTTCTTTTTGTTTTTTTAACAAACAAAAAAATAATAAGCTAACATCTTGTCAATAACGATAAAAAGTTCCTCAATTGTACCTGAAGAAAGAAAGGAAAAAACATTTTCTTTATATTCTACACTTCAATAGTAATAATCAAATGATCGTGATACTAAATATTTCAAAGGTTCGTCAATAAAAAAAAAAAAAAAAGAAAGTTTTCTTCTATCATGTACATATGATCGACTTATAACGTACATGTGAAAATTGTATGAATATGTTTACAACGAAACCTGTAAAAATTTGATTGCTAGAAAAAAACCAATCGATCATACACAGAACAACATTTTTATTTCATGCATATACTTGTATATTTACATATTTATAATATTACTCATTTGAACGAATAAAATTTGTTCTTATATCATGCCTGTCAATTTTCCAGTGAAAACCGAAGAAGATGATATTGATGATTTAACAGCTCCTTATAATGAACTTGAAACATTTGATTCTATATGGGATGGATTAAGATGGAAACATATACAAAAAAGAGTACCAATATGTTTCAAAAAAACATTATACAATCGATATATGTTAGCTAATTTAATTTATTTGGGTTATACAATTGGTCTTCTAGTCATTGATTTTTATCCAGGTTTTAGTGCAAGTTCTTCTGATAATTCTACAACAGTAGAAGAATCTAATGATACAATATCAATTCTTGATCAACCTGTTATTATGAATGAATATGTTAATCGACTTTATATTGGTAAACATGTTTTGTTTTTTAATACTGATTTAAGTAAAACAGTCATTTGTTTTTTTTTAAAGGCCTAGCTGCAGTCAATATTTTAGTAGCTTTTCTTTATATCATAGCATGGCGTGGTCGATCATGGTTTGATGTTGTTTTAATACCAGAATATTTAAATCATTTACAAGCAGGACTTTATCTTTGGTCAGCATTATGGTATTCAAAACAAGATACTCTTGGTGGTTATTATACCATTGCTGTACATAGAATTGAATTAACTGCATCATGTACTGAAATATGTGCTGCTATTGGATGGTAAATTATATAAATATAAATATATAAAATAAAATATTGTTGATATTTATAGGATGATTTCATGGTATATGACATATACACGTACAATAGGACGTGGTTTTACTTTTGATGATCCTGATACAATGGGTTATTTAACGACGACAACTAATACATTGATATATCTTGTGTATAATATTCAACTTAATATTTATCCTGAACAATATGGATCTAATCAAATATATATTTATGCAGATGTACTTGGTTTTATTGGTTCTGTTTATTATATATTTGGTACTTTACGTGATGAAAATTGGTTTTGGTTTCTTCCATTAGCTGGACAATATGGTATAGCAGCAGGTAGAATTCATGTTGAAACACGAGTTTTACCACAATTTGGACGTCCTGAAACATTAATTACGGATTTATGTAGACGAAGAAAAGGAAAAACTAAAGATAAGAAAGAAAATGAAAACAATGTGAATATGGATATTGTTACAGACTATTTTTAGTAAATATTTTTGCATATTGATTTTGAACAAAGATTATATGTATATATATATATATTTTTCCAAATAAACATTGAATTTAATTTAAAATGGTTCATACTTTGGTGATTGATACGAATTCTCAGATGTGAAATTTCTTAGAATTTTGAACTAATTTATATATATATATATTTTTGTTTTCTATAGTGAATAATATTAAAATAAAATATTTCTCGTCATATATGCATTAGAATAACAAGTTTGATTAAATAAATAAAGAAAAAAAAAAAAAGAAGTTTTTCAAGAACTCTAGCTTCTTAAAGATTTTACATAATGTTTGAGAACTGTCTGAATCTTATTAGGTAAGTGCTTAAAGGAAAAAAAAACAAACTTCACCAAAGACCTAGTAAATATTCTAGTTTACATTTGCATTAAAAAAAAACATATGATAGTCAGACATGCTTGTTAACACAAAAACGTAATTCCACAATTATATGGTCATTAATTATTTCATACATATGCATATTTTGATTGTTTTGTAATGCATACTTTTCGACATATGAATCGTGTTTTTTTTGTATTGATATACATAATAGAACTTTTTTTTTTGAATGTTATATACACATATAGGTGAAACATCTGCTCATTGAAGCGTATGGGAATTTCTGTCAGTGTAGAAGTAAAAACTAATGATGATTTAACAGTTCATTATAATGAACTCGAAGCTTTTGATTCTACATGGGATGCATTAAGATGGAAACATGTACGAAAAAGAGTACAGATATATTTCAAAAATATTCTACACAATTGATATATATATTAACTAATTTAGGTTATACAATTGGTTGTCTAGTCATTGATACTTATCTAGGTTTTAGTACAACATTGTCTGATATTTATACAGCAATGAAGATATCTAATGATTCAATATCAATTCTTGATCAACCAATAATGATAAATGTATATGTTAATCAAGTCGATATAGGTAAAAAATGATTCACTTCTTTTTTTTTCAATATTCATATATATCTTTATTTTTCAGGTCTAGCTACTATTAATATCTTAGTTGTATTTGTTATGTTTTGACATGGCGTAGTCGATCATGATTTGATATTATTTTAATACCAGAATATTTAAATCATATACAAGCAGAACTTTATCTTTGATCAGCATATTCGAAACAAACTATTCTCGGTGATTATTATATAAAAATTGTATATAGAATTGAGTTAACTGCATCATGTATTGAAATATGTGCTGCTATTGGATGAAATATTATTATTGATATTTATAGAATGATTTCATAGTCTATAACATATACACGTGCAATAGGTCATGGTTTTACTTTTGATGATACTGATACAATGGCTTATTTAGCAATAATGTCAAATACATTTTTATATTTTGTATATAATTTGCAGATAGAAATTCATCTTGAACAATATGAAATTAATGTATTATATATTTGTTGTATTAAATGATGATAATTGATTTTCGTTTCTTCTTTAGCTCGACAATAATATGGACCAACTTATGTGCTTATTACGAATATATGTAAAAATAGAAAAGAGAAAATTCAAGAATTTAATTGAAATGTAAATAATGATATTTTGATCATATATCTTTAAAATATTTTTTGTTTTTATATTATACAATTTATATCAATCAATAACAAATAAATGTTATAGATATTGCTTTAGGAGCTCTATTGATAAGAAAACTATTTTTTGATAAAAATAATCAAGAGAGAAATTATGAGATCATTGAGTATCATGTCAATACACAAGAGACTTAATAAAAGTTTTTTTTTCTCTGAACTTAATGGATCGATATCTGATACTATCAATATTCTTTCTTTGGAAAGTTAGTCAAGATCAATTTTTTACCACTATCGAAAAGATAGAAAATTAAAAACAGAACACCATTAACTATTTCAATATAATATATTGGTGACCTACTGAAGTTTAATACGACAAACATGAATAAAAAAAAATGGTTGTTCAGAATTAGAGAGTTCTAAGCTGAGTTTTATATATATATGTTATACAACTTTTATTCTCTACAACATAGTAAAAATATATTCAAAAAATAAATGATATTTTCGAGGTGAAAAGTTTTTAATACGTTTTCAATAGAACGAAAAAAACATTTTCAACTGTTCTACAAAAGCAAAATAAATAGTTTCTCAGCCAATCAGTTTTTCAAAAAAGAAAAAACATTCTTCTAAATGTCTTTGATTTCAAATGTCACATTATTTCGTTTTATAATCGCGTTATGGCAACGGATATTCCTAAAATTGGTTTTTTTTTGTTTATTGAAATTTCTCAAAAATCACTATGTAGAAGAAAGTTGTGAATCGCAGTGTACTCTGAAGGTACGTGGTTTTAGACATCGATGCATTAAATGCACAGGAAAAAACAAAGACAAATTTGTTTATATTGAGTTCCTCTCTCATAAATTATCCTAGCAGACTTGAGAAGAAATTCTTTGCATGATATTTATCGGTGCCCTCTATGTATGCTACTATTGATTCGTTAATCACTGTCTATTTCTGTTAGAAAAAAATATATGTATCTATCTTTCTCATACAAACGATGGTTACGAACCAAGGATTATCTGTCTCTATAGAAGACGATAAAGATTCAATATCATCGATTTATGAATTTCAATCATTTAATTCTATTTGGGATGCATTACAATGGAAATATGTACGAGTTCGAATACCAATCTGTTGGAAAAAATTATTACATAGTCGATATATGCTTGCAAATTTAGTCTATTTAATTTATTCTATAGTAATTTTAATTATTAATTTTCATCCTAGTTTTAATCAAAAATCAAATGATTTAACTTTTTTTCGATCGAAAACTCTTGATCAACCTGTTAATATTAATCCAGATATCAATCGATATTATATTATACTTGCAATTTTACATTTAATATCAGCTTTTCTCTATTGGTGGGCATGGCGTGATCGATCATGGCTTGATATTGTAATGATACCTGAATATTTAAATCATATTGAAGCTGGACTTTATCTTTGGTCAGCTTTTTGGTATTCAAAACAAGATACTCTTGGTGGTTATTATACTTTAGCTGTACATAAAATCGAAATGTCAGCAACTATTATTGAATTATTTGCTTCATTTGGATGGTAAAATAATTATTTTAAAAAGAAAAAAAAAACAAATTTTACAATATTTATTTTTCAGGATTATGTCTTGGTATTTGACTTATACTCGTACATTAGGTCGAGGTTTTACATTTGATGATCCAGATACTGTTGCATATTTAACTACAACGATAAGTTCATTTATTTATGTTGTGTACAATATACAAATTAATATATATCCTGAACAATATGGAACAAATATATTGTATAAATATGGTGATATACTTTATTTTATTGGTGCTTGGTATTATATATTTGCTGGATTACGTGATGAAAATTGTTTTTGGTTTTTACCATTAGCTGGACAATATGGTGTAGCTGCAAGAAATGTTCGAATAGAAACAAAAGAATTACCACAATATGGAAAACCATCTATTTTAATAACGGATTTATGTAAACAACGACAACATGAACAGTTTAATAATAACAATGAATTGAATATGGTTAATCATACAGCTACATCTTCTATTTGAGAATTTCATTTTCTTTATTAGATTTTTTTTTTCTAATCATATATATTTCATATTTATATTATTGATCAATTTCTTGATAGAATACATTTGTTTTATTTGTCTATTTTACTTTTGAAATAAATTATTGACTAATTAACATAGATATTTCAGTTCTTTTTTTGTATTTATGAAACAGTCAATTCATGAATAATAAACTTTAAAAGTGAAACTTACTGACATGTTCATATTGTATCGTACTAAACTAGTGTATTGCACCCTAGTCGGATGTCGAGCATGAAAATAATGTCGGTTCAGATTCAAATATGATTTCATACTCAGACTCGGCTCAGACATCTTGACGTTTCCAAATATTTTTACTTTTTCAACTTGCTAGTTTATATAAAATCCTAGGAGTAAAAACCAGAGCAAATTATTATACTTGAAAACAGATCACAGAATTCGAAAGTAATTCTGTTTTAAAAAAAATAAACTATAAAATATGACATAATTTCTTATTATTTTGTTGTTATCGATCAAAGAAAATAAAAAGTATATGTTTTTATATAAAATAAAAGTTTGAGCACCGTATTTCGACTGTAAAAGTATGTTCTTAATGCCCCATAGCTTCAGTTGGATACCGAGCACAACTATTTAGATCCGATTGCAAAAATTAGCACTCGTGCAGGATACGATACTTTCATATTCAAAAGATTCATAACAGTTGCTCGTGAATATTTAGGTACTAAAACAAATTTAAATATATTCTTTCATTCGTTATTTGAAATTAAAACAATTTCTCTAAAACACGGGGTCAAAGAAATGCTGGTTAAAAATCATTAATCATAGACCTAATTATTTAATATTGATGAGATCCTGAATTTTCAGCACGGAAAATTTAAGCACGAAGAACAATCACACTGTAAAAGAAGTTTACTACGAAACTCAAAGCCTGTACTACAATTGTGCGGATTCTTAAAAAAAGGCTTTCCTTCGGCTAGACAGAAAGAACCATCACTACCAAAATCCAAAGACTTCGAATTCATGAACGAAACGTTCTTAGGATCAATCAGATATATGCCGAACCCCAGCATTCGGAGTTCGATCTTGAGCCTAGTTATTTTTAGTTAATATAATAAAAGAGTCGTAAAACTGAGCCAAAATCAAGTGTTCTACCGTCGGCTATAATAGGTCTACACACATTTGAAATGAAAGATCCAAAAACGGATGAGCTGAAGGCATCTTAAAAGAGAATCAGTGATATTCGAAAATGCTCGAACCCGAAGTTAGCCGAATTTTAGAATGCTTTCATGATCATTCATATTACAAGAAGTGCTTGAATGATTGTCTAAATACTCAATGCTATCTGAATCTGGTTCGATAGTTCCAGAATCCTTGCCCCATAAGGAAAAGGAGACGTGGAATCATTCGGTCTAGACCACCAAACGGGAGTTTCAGTTCAGTAAATGCCTAGGATCAATGAAACCTTCAAAACGTTCGCATGCGATGCCCAAACTTGTTAGGTTTTATGTTACCCTTGAGACAGAACCGCTCAATATTTTTCTTGGAGACACGAAAAAAATCTTGAAAAGTCTTTGTACCAAATGTATAAAGTTTGGTATTATGTGTGAACGTTTTGCAAGTTAGGCCGACTATAACAAAGTTTCGTACATGAATTTGAAATCTTTAGATTTCGGTAGTGATGATTCTTCGTGTCTAATCGCAGGAAAATCTTTTCCAAGAATCCGTATAGTTGTAGTACAAGTTTCAAGTTTCGTAGTAAACTTCTTTTACAGTGTGCTTGTTCTTCATGCTGAAGTTTCCTGTGTTTAACTTTCTCGTGTTGAAATTTCACCAACCCGATACTGATAGATTCAAAGAGTTTATTCCGTTTAAAAAGATTACGACTATTTAATAACGTAAATATCTCATCTTTAAATATGATATTCTGACATATCAAAATATTATTTTTGAAGCAATAATATACAGAATTGAACAAACAATGACTTTTATTAGTTACATATTCATTGTCTCTATCATTCGAGTCAACAGAATATAAATGATAACAAAAATTCAAACTCATTGTATGATTCATACATCCCTATTTGAATGTTATCAACAAGTAGATTTATAAAAAAAGGAAGATATTCTGTTTTTTATTCTAAATCAAACATGATTTTTAAAGAGAAAGAAGAAACTCATATTTATACAAGAACAATATTAAAAATTAACAATTTAATATTAGAAATATTTACAAAGTAAGTCATAACAAATGCGATGACTAAAACTTTACTTTTATGATGTTTTCACTTGATTCTTTGTCATTTACTGATAAAAGGTAAGATAAATATGTTACATATTTTTAATATTTCTCATCATTTATATTTTTTAGTCATATGTCTCTTCAATCAATTCGTTTATGGTTTCGACTTTTTATTATAAATGATTTTTCAACAATTTTTGTTTTATTTATTTGGGTTCTATTAAATATTCTTCTTTTTATTGTACAATTTTTTAATTATCATCAATCACATTCATATTTTTATTTACGTGTATTGATATATGATGGTATAAGTATTGCACGTGCATCAGCTTTATGTCTTAATTTTAATTGTTTATTAATACTTTTACCTGTTTGTCGTAATTTATTATCATTAATTCGATATATTTTACCACATTGTATAATTCAATCTCGTTTTCGTCGTTTTATAATACGTTTATTTGATCAACATATAGAATTTCATCGTTGTATAGGTTATGCAATTTGTTTTTGGTCATTAATACATGTTAGTGCACATATTTATAATTATGAACGTTTTATTAATGTTCATAATGAACATAAATCACTTATATCAGTACTTAATTTACTTTATTTACAATCATCACAATCACAAATAAATCCATTTGATAAAATCAGTTCTAATACATTAAGTATTGGTGCAATGCTTAGTACAACAGCTGGAATAACAGGTATTATTTTATTTATTTGTTTATTAGTTATTATTAGTTCATCGACAAGACTTATTCGTCGATCATATTATGAAATATTTTGGTTTATTCATCATTTTTTTATTCTATTTTTTATTTGTCTTATTTTACATGGTCAACAAGGTTTAATTAAATCACAAACAAATATTCAAGAACATAATCCTGATATATGTGCATCACTTTATCGAGAATGGGGTATTAATGAACAATGTCGTATTTATCCACATTTTACTAGTTCAAAATCAACTAGTTGGATATGGTTATGTATACCATTGAGTCTTTATCTTCTTGAACGTTTTCTTCGTTTTATACGTAGTTTACAATATGTTGAAATTATTGATATTATTCGACATGAATCACAAGTTATTGAAATTTGTTTTCGTAAAAAATTTATGATAAAACCACAACCAGGTCAATATATTTATTTAAAATGTTTTTCAATATCAAAATTTGAATGGCATCCATTTACAATAACATCAGCTACTGATGAAAATTATATAAGTATTCATATTCGTACAATTGGAAATTGGACAAAAGAATTAGCAAAAAAATTTGAAAAATATCCTGAAAATATTCCTCGATTAGCCATTGATGGACCTTATGGAAGTCCAGCAGATGATGTTTTCAATTATGATAGTGTTATATTAATTGGTGCTGGTATTGGAGGTAAGATTTAAATAAAAAACAAACAAAAAAATTAACTTTTTTTTTTTGCTGATTTTTATTATAGTAACACCTTATGCTTCAATATTAAAACATATTCGTTCATCACAAACAGATCATAAACGACTTCGTCATGTTTATTTTTATTGGATATGTAATACTACATCATGTTATGAATGGTTTGCTCAAATGTTGCTAAAACTTGAACGTGAATTATGTAATCGAACTCATTTTCTTACTTATAATATTTATTTAACAAAATGGTCAATGATTGAAACACGAGCTATAATTAAAAATAATAATGAACAATGTGATATATGGACTGGTTTACAAACAAAAACATATTATGGAAAACCAAATTTTGATATTGATTTTCAATCAATTATAAATGAAGATTTGAATATAAAAACTAAACGTGATATTGGTGTATTTGTTTGTGGCCCAAATCAATTAGTTAAACAACTTCAAAGATTATGTATTAAAATGAATGATAGTAATATATCAAAAAATAAAGTTCAATTTTATTTAAATAAAGAAAATTTTTAAATTATATAGTATATATTATATGTAATAAAAAATATATCATTTTATCATTTCATATTTTTCATTTCAATATAAATTTATTTTTCTATAAGTAATAAAGGAAAATTTATTTGAAAAAATTCATTATAACATAAACGAGAATGAGTAAAAAGCTACTGAAAAAAACAAAAGAAATATTTTAATGATAAAAATTTATCTATGAGTCAAAGTAAATTTTAATTAACATCTTTTTTTGTACTTTTAGTTAAAATAACATTGAATCAACAAATTTCATTGTTAAAAACTAAGACACACATTGGTTAATATTAGAGAAAGGTTTGAATATACGTATTTTCCTAAAAAAAAATGCTGTTGTTACAATACACGTTATCCATCTTTTGCTTTAGGAATTGTAATTTAAATAAAATTACTTAATAAATTTTCAGATGTTTTTACTGTTAAACTTTTGAGTACGTTCAACTATTAGAGAATGGATGCACTTCAATGAAATCAATAAGAGTTATAGCTTAGACAGTAAATGTTGTCTATCATAACTCTTTTTGTAATTAAGAGACCCCCTTCCTCACAAACAAACGTTTTTATTTTTTCATGGAATTCAGTCAACATTTCCAGAGAATGTTAGTCTTGACTAAACTAGATTATAGTTAAAATATCTCCTCAAATCTGCGAATTTTTCACGAGTTATAATCAATTTATTGGTCAAAAGTACCCTGTACGAGGACAAGGTTTTCACAACCAGGATACGAGCTAACATGCCGGGACGATTTTTAAGTTGTAAAGTACCCTTAGCGCTAGGTCGTAACAGAGCTCGATTTTCGAAATTCCCTTTGTTTGTTTTTTAAAAAGTCTTTTTTGGAAAATTCTCGAATTCATGACCAAAAAGTCGCTGATAAAAATGATATATGTAAGTTTTCTCTTTCATCAATATAGAAATTCAAAGATCGGGCTTTGTTATGATCTAGTCCTAACTGTCCTCTATGCAATAAAAAAAAAAAATTATCATTTCTATATTGAGCCATTATTGAGTAAGATTTACTCTCGCAAACAGTATGCCCGAAAAAACGGATTTTAAGAAAAACACAAAATCAATTTTTAAAAACCCTATTTTTTCCATATGGAGATTCAGAAAAAATTATGCAATATCCTTAAAGCTCATCATAAAACCAATCAACTATAGTGTATGCATTCGAGAGTAGATATTTTGCTCTATTGAACGAGCTATAAATCACAAAATTGATAATTTCGATGAAAATTGACTTTGTCTGAGGAGGAGGGGAGAGCCCCCTTAAGCAATCAGAGCTGTACAATGCCACTGATCTAAAGTCTTGATGAAGCATATGTACATAAGTTTTTAGACCTCCGTTATAAATATCTAAGGTAGATGACAATTGTTCATGGCTATATGTGTCCTATCTTTAGTAGTTTCTACACAAAATGTTCAGATAATTACATAGGTTCATTCTAATTCACATCTTCTATCATATAAAATACTAACTATGAGTATCTCTTGAAACTGTTTTCGTAATTTTAGATAAAAACCTGATAGTGAATTTTCTTAAGAAATAGTAATACAAAATGATAATAAGACTATATTTATATTGTAAACAATTCATATTAAAAAGAAAAAGTCCAATTTTCTTGACGTAGAATTCAATCATATATTACAAAAACAAAATACCTGCTGGCATTCTATTTCATTTTTTGAAACAACTGATTTTTTATTTTTAGATTAGCTTAAAAATAATTAGTAGGATTTATTCATCTATTTAGAATACTTTGTGCTAATTATTACGTGAGAATCGGTCGATATCTACTCCATGTATTGCTCTCTTAAACTCTTTTTTATTATGTAATATTGTATAATTTTAAAGGAAATTTCTTTTGTATGGAAGTTGAATAAATACTTGACAGAAATGACGCATTAAATACTTTATTTCTGAAATCATATAAAAACTCATCATTTTTGCATTTAGAAGAAATTTTTTTTACAACTTCTCAAGACTTTTCTCCATACTTACATACTAAATATATACGGTGTCTTAAGTGTAAAGCTTTTACTATAGATGAGAATCTGTAACAATACTATTATGTACTGTTTTATCAATACTTGAATTACTAAACCTCCATCAGACTATAAGCTGGTGATCATCGTACGAAACTGTATTTTTCTCGTAACATATATGCGAAATTCATTGTAATTATAGTAGCAGAAAAAATAGTTAAAGAATTGTATTATTTAAAAAATGTAATTTTTCATAATGATCGGACTCATCAAGAAAGAACGCACGTGACTTTGACTGCTCTTGAACATATTTTTATCAATTGAATTGAACAAAAAAATTATGATGCACTCATACTTCCATCGCATTTTTCCATCATTGATCGAACTTGTTTGGAATGATTATTTAATCTTATTTATTGTAAGAACTAATTTCATTTTTGCTAAATTGTTTTTAAATATATTATAGTTTGATAGGATAATAATTATTGATAACTATAAAATCATAAAATTGATATGATAATAATCACGTTTATTTGTGGTTGCATGATATATTTTTTCCTAAATCTATTTATAGAAAACACAATGATTTTGTGGATTGCGAAAGCTATTTTTAGCGCTTGAAAATTCAATAAATAATGTTGATATCAATTTTTCAAGATGATCAACTCAAAACTAGGCATATTTTGATGTAAATATACTAAATCCGACCAAGTCTAAACTGTTCAGTCTAGATTCAGCTCGATGCAAATCTACGATATAACGAATAACTAATATAAAGATGAAAATTAGTTAGAATTTTGCTATTCTTTATATAATATCGAAGTTTTCACTAAAATAGTAAGGTCATATTCTAATTATTCTTTTTGTTTTTAAATTTTTGTATTTTAGAATGCTATTTCTTATTATCTTCCCTA